ATAATAAGAGAGGATAATATATAATAAGACAGATAGATGAAGAGATAGACTGATATATAGATGCATAGACGGAGACATACAGATAGATTACTAGACAGATAAATAACAAAACAAATTAGTAGCTATAGATCGAGATAAAAGAACAGACAGACAGATGGATACGTAGACAAAGACAGAAAAAAAAACAGAACAACAAACAATACCAACATATCCATATATAAATAAAACGACCACAAAACAACATAATGAAACCGACTCCCACCCAACAGACACGCGCGTGGTAAAACAACCCCCCTGGTACTACGGAAAAGAACAACGGACCTTCACCCACCCTCTGTACAACCGGACGTGGATTCGCCTCCCGGAGAGTTTTCACGAAGACCACCTGGACACCCGGAATCAGGTGAAGGTGGTGTTCGTCGCCTACAATGAGCTGCATTGCACTATCAACAGCTTGCCGTGGTAGGTTTTGTGTGCGTGTGTGTGTAAAATAGAGGGGGAGAATGGAAGGAAGGAGGGGACAAAGATAGATAGATAGAGTGAGAAAGAGAGACAGGAAGGAGAGAGAGAGAGACAGGAAGGAGAGAGAAAGGGAGAGAGAGAGAAAGGAAAGAGAGAGAAAGGGAGAGAGAGAGAAAGGAAGGAGAGAGAAAGGGAGAGAGAGAGAAAGGAAGGAGAGAGAAAGGGAGAGAGAGAGAAAGGAAGGAGAGAGAAAGGGAGAGAGAGAGAAAGGAAGGAGAGAGAAAGGGAGAGAGAGAGAAAGGAAGGAGAGAGAAAGGGAGAGAGAGAGAGGAAGGAGAGAGAAAGCGAGAGAGAGAAAGGGAGAGAGAGAGAGCGAAAGGGAGAGAGAGAGAGAGAAAGGGAGAGAGAGAAAGGGAGAGAGAGAAAGGGAGAGAGAGAAAGGGAGAGAGAGAAAGGGAGAGAGAGAAAGGGAGAGAAAGAAAGGGGGAGAGTGAGAGAGAGAGAGAGAGAGAGAGAGAGAGAGAGAGAGAGAGAGAGAGAGAGAGAGAGAGAGAGAGAGAGAGAGAGAGAGAGAGAAAGGGAGAGAGAGGGAGAGAGAGGGAGAGAGAGAGAGAGAGAGAGGGAGAGAGAGGGAGAGAGAGAGAGAGAGAGAGAGAGAGAGAGAGAGAGAGAGAGAGAGAGAGAGAGAGAGAGAGAGAGAGAGAGAGAGAGAGAGAGAGAGAAAGGAAGGAGAGAGAGAGAGAGAGAGAGAGAGAGAGAGAGAGAGAGAGAGAGAGAGAGAGAGAGAGAGAGAGAGAGAGAGAGAGAGAAAGGGAGGAGAGAGAAATGGAGAGAGAGCGAAAGAGTGGCTGAGCGAGTGACAGAAAGAATGATTGGGAGAGATATTGTGTTCGAATCTTACAATGAAATCTGGTGATATTTAGCTCTCTTTGTAGATGTTATTTCTTAATTTTTTTATCCTTTTCTAGCAACCCGCCAATTGCAAAGCACACAGTTGACCTGCCAGCTCGAGATCAGGTCAACAGTGCCGTTATTGGTGCCAAAGTGAGCGGGGTTTCGACCTGGTATGCCGGTGAGTCACAGCTGTCATAGTCATAGCACACGCATAAACACACATGCATAGAAATTGAGAGAGATAGATACATATATACATAGATAGATTGATGGTTAGATAGATAGACAGAGAGAGAGAAAAAGAGATTATAAAATAGGATACCTTACCCCTCCCCTCCTCTCTGCTCCCCACCTCAACAACACCCCTCCCCTCCCCTCCTCTCTGCTCCCCACCTCAACAACACCCCTCCCCTCCCCTCCTCTCTGCTCCCCACCTCAACAACACCCGTCCCCTCCCCTCCTCTCTGCTCCCTACCTCAACAACACCCCTCCCCTCCCCTCCTCTCTGCTCCCCACCTCAACAACACCCGTCCCCTCCCCTCCTCTCTGCTCCCCACCTCAACAACACCCCTCCCCTCCCCTCCTCTCTGCTCCCCACCTCAACAACACCCCTCCCCTCCCCTCCTCTCTGCTCCCCACCTCAACAACACCCCTCCCCTCCCCTCCTCTCTGCTCCCCACCTCAACAACAACCCTCCCCTCCCCTCCTCTCTGCTCCCCACCTCAACAACACCCCTCCCCTCCCCTCCTCTCTGCTCCCCACCTCAACAACACCCCTCCCCTCCCCTCCTCTCTGCTCCCCACCTCAACAACACCCGTCCCCTCCCCTCCTCTCTGCTCCCCACCTCAACAACACCCGTCCCGTCCCCTCCCCTCCTCTCTGCTCCCCACCTCAACAACACCCGTCCCCTCCCCTCCTCTCTGCTCCCCACCTCAACAACACCCGTCCCCTCCCCTCCTCTCTGCTCCCCACCTCAACAACACCCCTCCCCTCCCCTCCTCTCTGCTCCTCACCTCAACAACACCCCTCCCCTCTGCTCCCACCTCAACAACACCCCTCCCCTCCCCTCCCCTTATACCCAACCCCCCCTGTTACCAACCACCCCCTTTACCCCCGTCTCTCTTCTCGACCTCCTCCTCCAGCACTAGACGAATACGTGGAAATCAGCTTCCAACACATCTACACGGGTGACATCTACCTCCTGGGACGTCCGACGTGCGTGTGGTGGGACATCCGATCTCACAGTTGGGCGAAGGATGGCTGCCGATTGGTGGAGACCGGTAAATTTGTGTCTGTTTGTCACTGCGATCATCTGACGAACCTCGCTGTTGTCATGGATATCAACGGACTCGTGGATGATACTGATGTAAGTTTTTTGTTGTTGTTGTGTCGGTGTTGTTGTATTGGTATTACTTTTTTCAGTATTTGAATGTGTTTTTTTATATATAGCACTGTCTTGTCGGCATTGCAGTACTGCTATTATAGATATTATTGCTAGTTTGGTTATTATTTCTTTCATTGCTGTCAATACTAGTTTTATTATCAATGGTAAGTATAGAACTTGTTACAGATGCCTACATACATGAATATATATGTACGTACGTATACAAACATAAAATAAAATGTACGAACTAAAACGTACCTCTCCCTCCCCCACCCAACACCCCCTCCCCCTCCCCCAGGTGATGTACTACGTGCTGCAGTGCGTCATCATCATCGGCTGCGTGGTGACGGTGGTGAGCCTCGCCCTGTGCATCCTCTGCTTCCTCATCTTCAAGGACCTGAAGGAGAAGACGAGCTCCTTAGTCCACGCCAACCTCTGCGGGAGTCTCATGCTTGCGGAGCTCGTGCTCTTGGGCGGTCTGGACGCAGCTGAAGACATGGTTGCTTGCAAGACGGTGGCGGCGCTGATCCACTATTTCTTCCTGGCGACTTTCACGTGGAGCGCCATCGGGGCTTTCCATGTGTATATGACTTTCGTTAAGGTGAGGACGAGGGACGTGAAGGGGCAGTTTAGGCTGGAGTGAAAGGCTGTCTTGGTGGAATATATTGTTATTTTCGTTGCACGTTTTTTTCTTTTCTTTTTCTTTTCGAGTTATGAAAATGTGCTGTCCGGTTTTACGAAGATTTTTCATGTGTATTTTAGCTTCGTCAGGGAGGATGAGATTATAAAATGGTTATTTGTGAATTAGTTGAGAGAACCAACAAAGAGCAAAAAATAGAATACCGGAATAAACCTAATGGGGGGGGGGGGGAATTTGCTTACTAGAGGGGGGGAGGTACTAGGTACACTAGGAGGACCAGTACCCCCCCTTGCTAATATGTTTTAAAAGGCTGTTTAGGGTTAGACTAGATTACTCTTTGACCGCCAAAAAAAAAAAAACACGTTTCATTTCATATTCGCTTTGGAAAATAATATGTAATTGATTTTTTTTTCTTTATTTCTGACCTGCCCGTTTCCGTGTTATAAATAAAATATCTTTTTCACGTTTGCAGGTGCGGAAACCCGAACGATCGCCTCTGAAATACTACATGTGCGTGGGATACTTGGCTCCGTTCTCGTACGTCTCACTAACACTGGCATTCACACACGGCGAGGGATATGCCACCCGGAAAGCGTGAGTGTCACAGAAAACATGACAGTGTCGTTAAGTATAGAAAATGGGGCAAATGATAACTGATAAACCAAGAGAAAATGAAAATAAAGTAACGTGGCTGTTCATACGAAGGCAAATATGTAAATAAATCTAAGTAATGAGGGCAAAAAATGGGGCAAATGATAGCTGATAAACCAACAGAAAATTAAAATAAAGTAACGTGGCTGTTCATACGAAGGCAAATATGTAAATAAATATAAGTAATAAAATGTTATTTGCAGGTGCTGGTTATCTCCAAATGGTGTTTTGTGGACCTTCGCGGGGCCTCTCGCTATAATCATGTTGGTAAGCATAAATTTGTGTATTATGACAGCGGGTATAAAAATCCGCATTATCATAATATGCAAATTTTTCTCTGTCCATGAATATATCTTCTGATTAAGATTGATATAATTTGCATGGTCTTAAGGTATTTTGAACTGCCTTGTTTACTTGTTTACTTTTGAACCAATGCTCTCATTTTCTTCATTTTACCGTAAACAAGAAAACTCGTGGAGAATTATGGCGTTTTAGTGGCGAGTGAGAGAAGGGAGGTAGAGGGTTATCACCTAATTTTGTCCTTGATAATTTGGAGCTGTTCGTAATCTTTTATTGTCTGTGTCAGTGTCTGTAAAATGATAATAATGATAATAATAATAATAATAATAATAATAATAATAATAATAAAACAATGATTATAATAACTAGATACATATGTCTTTAGTTAGTTTGAGATTGAATATATAAGTATATTATAGTTACGTCTATCAGGAGAGATGTAATATGCATAGCTATTAAGATGAAGGCAGATAAATGAATACATAAAAAGGACAGAAAGAAAATGGGAAGAAAGACGAACAAAAAAATTCTCCATAAGGAAAAAAGTTCGCAAATGACATCAAACCTTCCATTATTATATTATTTTATTATCTCACGTAATATCCCAACAGATAAACGCTGTCGCCTATTTCATGACAATGCAAGTGACTTGGCGGGAAAACGCGCTCA